TCTGTGTTGCTCTGGGGTTAGCAGCGCCGTGGTGGATTGGAGGTGGAGGGGTGCTCAGTTCAGTCCAAACACAGGCAGGCAGGCTGGGCCTCAGCTGGCTCCCGTGCCTGGCTTTCGTCAGGAGGGGAGCAGGGGGAGCTAGCTGGGGTAGCTTCAGGGGTGGGTTGGTGAAGGGTCTGCAGGATGGGGGTAGGTGAAGGAGGGCGGGTGTACAGGGGGGTGGTAACAGTGCTGTCATTTAAAACTCCCTGATGGCAGGCACTAACCTCCATTCTGTTGGTAGCTTCCTAATATTCCTGGGGCATGTGTCGTGGGCATTCCTCCTCGTTTGAGGCAGGACTGAGTGACCTGAGGGCTTCCTGGCCTGTCCTGACCGGAGTCCTTGAACCTGTAAGGCCAGTCCACCCTGCTGTGGTTGGCGGGGAGAGGAAACCTAGGGGCATGAGGGTGGGGGGGCCGAGGCTGCCTGAGCTGCATTGGCCTCTGTTCTGGCTCTCTTCTGCTAAACTTACTGCCAGACAGAGCAAGAGACAGACTCTGAGCTTCACAAGGCCTGTCCCGCTGTGGGAGAGGATAGGAGAGGAGGAGGAGGGGAGAAAGCTGTTGAAGTGTGAAAATGGACACCAGGGGAGCATAGCCAGTGTCCCGCCTCACTTGTGATGGTTACCCCCTCTCTCTCTCATGCCCCATAACGCGTCTCTGCTGGAGAGGCTCCCTCCCCAGTGTTTGGTGTGTGACGTCATGCTCCGTAGCCGATGAACAACAGATAGCTGGCCTGAGCAGCACAGGCCCTCTGCTACAGTAGACTGGCCTGCCAGAATAGCATTTTTGGAAAGAAGATGCTTGACGATTACTTCCCACTGGGCAAAAACTGGTTGAATCAATGTTGTTTCCACGTCATTTCAACAACAGAAAAATCAGTGTGTTGACGTTGAATCAATGTGGAAAACTGATTGGGATTTGCTAAAAGTTGTCAACATAAGGGAATTTTGTATTTTTCTTCACCCAACTTTTAACCTAAATCCAAATAATTTTTTTGTTGAATTCACGTTAGTTGACAACTCCACCAAATGTAAATTAAAACTAGATGTTGAAATGACGTCTATGCCCAGTGGGTTAGCACTGCTCTGTCTATGGTCTCGCTATAAAACCAAAAGAGGAATTGGTGTGTCATTTCACACTTACCCTACCTTTTCCAAGCTCAGCCACTTAATGTCAATCCCACACCTAATGGCTAAAACCACCTCAATTATATCAATTTGAACGCGGTCGTCAGTTTGGTATGAAACGGAGTGTGAGAATGTACACACATTTGGTTTGGCGCTCTGGCTGGGGAGATGGCACGGAGCTGGGATGGAGATGGCCAGGCAAAATATGAAGTAAAGTGAGCTCTTGCCAGCCTGGCTGCTGATGCCAACAACACCCCCTGGCACCCCACTGGAATATTTGGTATCCAGAGTGTGGTTTTCAGAGAGGACATGTGATAGGGCCAAGTTACCATCTCCCGCCACCCCGAGGAATGTGTATATAGCCTTAGATACACCTGGTGTGGCACAGAGAGTGGTTAGTCAGGCACAGCAGCCCGGTCACTGAGCCTTCAGGCCAAGCCATGATGGGAGAGGCTGGCACTGAGGAATAATTAAAACGTTGTTACTAGGAGGTTTCGATTGGTTGTGATTCCTGTAAGACTTAAGGGATTCTCTGTTGCTGGGCTACCGTCGGTTGTTTGCTGCTTCTGTTTTGATTCTCCAAGAAGCTGAAAGCTAGGACGAAAGAAAGTGGATTAACATAAAACGTAATGTAGCTCATTAAATGTGAAACCTTCAATTGAAGCTCAATGCGCAGAAGGTCCTTCTCTGTTCTAGCACACAGCAGGCTGAAACAGGAAGAGAGGAAGGGGCTAGAAAACTGTTTCCCCGTTTTTTGCCTGCTTTGCTTGGCAAGCATCCACTCTCACTCTCTCCCGTTCGTCTTTTCTCTCGGAGTAGCTCACAGTACACCAGATACACACACACACCCCTGTCCTCCACATCCCCTTCATTCCTCCCCTGACCCTCGCTCCCTTTTCTTCCCTTCCTGCGCCCCTCCACTCATCATCCACCCCTCCTGACTCACATTGAGATCTTCTTTTAGCCAAAGTTGTTTCCATTTTAATCTGGAAGTTTAGTCTATTGAACAATCATGTGTGTAATAATGTGGGTGTAACCCAGAAATATAGCCAATGGGAATGCTCCTTGTGATGCTCAAACATGACATTGCTCAAAGCAGATTGAACAGCGAGACAGAGACACATCACATTTGAGCTAACGTTGAGCTTGTGTACATGGGGTCATGGGTTGGTCTGACCAACTCCGGGGTATGGCATGATCCCCCTCCTAAACACAGAAGCACACCCGCCACCGCACGCGCACACACACACACACACACACACACACACACACACACACACACACACACACACACACACACACACACACACACACACACACAGACCATGCTGTCTGCACAGAGTAGCACTGTGGTGTGTGGTACAGTAGTTTAAAAATTCCATGGTTTCACACATTTCTTCCTCTGGTTTTGTCTGTCTGCTCGACTTCCTTCTTGAGGCACTGTGACATCACAATGGACGCTCATGAATAATCCCAGCAGCGTTTGTCTTGTGGTTCCTCCTCACACCCTTGATTGAATTGTCAAAATAATTGTAATACATTTTGATTTATTTTGGTTGAGTTTAAGATGTAATAGTGGGGGAATGGGGGATTCATTCCCAGTGTATTCCAAGTGCTGCCTTCCCTTGTATCTAAGTACCAAAAAACCTTTCTGAAAACCATATTTTTGTTTTCAGTAATCATGTTGAAGCCATTAAAAGTTCTCAAATTAAGCCTGTGGGCCTTGGCATGGGATCCAAACTGCAGCTATAAAGAGCAGCGTAGAGGGGAATGTCTTTTAAGAAGTAAAGGCCTGCATTCTTGCGGTAAGACACAGGCAGTTCCTTTACATGTTTTGTGTTTTACTTAATCTCGGAGGAGTAGATTTTTTATGACTAATGGAGCACATGTTGGTGGGAAGTTGGGGACCTCTGAAGCAGAAAATGGGGACGCTGGGCGACTGTCATGTTTCCTCCACGTCAGCGCAGCCAGTTAGCGACCATGGGAGACGCCCTCCCTGAGGCTCCTCAACATGTTAGTGCTCTTCCAGCCCTATTCTTAGGCCCCCTAGCCCTCATACAGCCTTCTCACATCTGTCCACATCCAGGGCCACTATATGTAGAATACAGAATAAATATTGAGTTATTCAGGTATGAAGTGAGTCCATTTATCAGATACATTTGCCTCGTCCTCGATTGAGCCCAAATACAGAATTTGAATTATTTCATGAGTAATTCACTAGGATCATATATCTAGTCTATGTAGTGCATTTTTGATTTAGCAGTCATTTGCACAAGGCTTTTCCTGGAAATGTTTGCACTGTGACCTTTGACCTTTCGTAACTCAGCTGTGTTCAACTCCTGAGGAGCAATTCCCATGTGATAGGCCTCTGTTCTCATTTCACCAAGGCAGCAGGCAGCACTTGCCCAGGCCCAGAAGCCATTACACAGGTTCAAACCATGGCCCATCAGGTTTAAATTAGCTGTAAATGTCTAAGGAATGTTCCCCTCCTCACAAGTCTAAAGCTCCTGGCCGTGGGGCTCTCTGTCTTATTTCCCACAGCCGCCCGGCTGTTCCAACAGAGGTAAGGGTATATTACTGTTGTGTACCACCAGAGGGCTGCACTGTCATACACTGCAAGCCATAATCATAGTTATTACAGGGCACTAATATGTTAACCTCTACGGGATCGGTGTCCCGTATACGGGACGGTTGAGCTAACGTGCGCTAATGTGATTAGCATGACTGTTGTAAGTCACAGCAAACTTTCCAGGACATAGATATGTCTTATATGGGCAGAAAGCTTAAATTCTTGTTAATCTAACTGCACTGTCCAATTTACAGTAGCTATTACAGTGAAGAAATACCATGCTATTGTTTGAGGAGAGTGCACAACAACAGAAAACTTATCACGGCAACTGGTTTGATACATTCACCTCTGAAGGTAAATAATGTACTTACATTCAGTCATCTTGCTCTGATTTGTCATCCTAAGAGTCCCAGAGATAAAATGTAGCATAGTTTTGTTTGATAAAATCAATTTTTATATTCAAATGTAGGAACTGGGTTCTGCAGTTTGAACCCTTGCTGTCTCTGGCTCCACACCCACCCCGCCCGGCCATCTAGATGTGTGAAAGTTAGTTTATAAGCTAATGATCCATCATGTATGACATTCCTGGGAGTGTGTAAACATACATTTTGTATTAACATATCATTTTTGTATGTTTTCTATAGTTATGTACTTGAAAATGTATCAATTGACCAATTCGGCACATTTGGGCAGACTTGATACAAAATTGTCCAGTATTGCAACGCTTGACTGGATCAATCTGAAACTTTGCACACACACTGCTCCCATCTAGTGGGCAAAATCTAAATTGCGCCTAAACTGCAATATTATAGTGGCCTTTCTCTTGTATTTCAAAGATGATGGAAAAAAATGTTTTATAGAAAACACATGTTTTTTGGTTTGTATTATCTTTTACCAGATCTAATGTGTTATATTCTCCTACATTAATTTCACATTTCCACAAACTTCAAAGTGTTTCTTTCAAGTGGTATCAAGAATATGCATATCCTTGCTTCAGGTCCTGAGCTACAGGCAGTTAGATTTGGGTATGTCATTTTAGGCAAAAATTGAAAAACAGGTCAGATCCTTAAGAGGTTAATAGTCAGATCAGAACTCTTCTTCTCTAATACTTCCAACCTGAGAGCTGCATCTTGGGGCCACAGCAGGCTGAACTACTGGAAATCTCATCTCTCCCACAACCTTTGAGGCAGATTCCTAAATCCCAATCCTGTAAAAACAAATCACAGTCCTCCTCTCTTCCTTTCCTTTCCTTTGGTCTCCTCATGTCCCCTCCATCATCTCCCCATCGTGGCGGAGACGAGGTCTGAGACGGGGCGGGGGGTCAGGGGTGTTGAGAGGTTGCTTTCTCTGGAGGATTCTCAGGTTCTTCCAGCTCTCTTTGATGCTGAAACCCGATCGGCCCGCTCTCAGGTGGATTCCCTGCAGGCAGAGACTGGCTCGTTAAAAAAGCACCACCTTTGTGTTCCCACAGGACGTGGATGTAATTAACATAGCTTAGCTTCAGTACTGGGGCCTATACCTGTGTTTTCACCGTTGTCAAGGCTACTGGTGAGTTGTGTGTGCTGGGGAGATGAATGGGGGGGATGGGGAGGCGTTCAGTGCTGGGCCCTAGTGGGCTGAGGTAATGCTTGGCCTGATCCTAACCACCTCTCAGCCGTAACTCTCTGTCTGTGGGGGCGGCAGTCAGGGTAGCGGTCATCCAAATTCTGCATGGGCCATGTTCCCACAGTAAAGCACAGTACAGTCAGGAAACTGGAGGTCTGTGTCAGTGTCACTTCTGTTCTGTCAGGGCCAATTATTTATATATACACTAGATCACTGACAAGGGGTGCTGTGTTGAAGCCACCGTGCCTCCATCTTGGCACTCCCCCATTATGTAAAATAATATTTTGGAAGCTAGCCTATAGAAATGTATTTATTAATGTCTCCCATTTGTTTTTTCATTTATTCTATTACACCTTAACAGACACCTTAATGCATACTTTTACATTAAATTATGTGAGCTATACAAATAAAAAAAGAAAATAAAACTTTTTCCTTAAAGTATAATTTTTTATAAAGTTCTAATGTTACTGTCCCCAATACAAAAAATACTTAAATAGATACCATTTCATTGAAATACTGTAAAATTCTATTCATTCCTATGGAGGAGTGCTTCTGCTGGGGAGTGCCAATATGGCCGACCGGTGGCTTCAAAGCCTCTCATTGGCCATTACATAGCATCAGCAATCCAGGGTTTATACATCAGGGGTAGGCAACTATAGATTCAGAGCTGATGGTCGGGGGACAAAACATAATTATAACAATTTATACAGTGAGGGAAAAAAGTATTTGATCCCCTGCTGATTTTGTACGTTTGCCCACTGACAAAGAAATGATCAGTCTATAATTTTAATGGTAGGTTTATTTGAACAGTGAGAGACAGAATAACAACAAAAAAATCCAGAAAAACGCATGTCAAAAATGTTATAAATTGATTTGCATTTTAATGAGGGAAATAAGTATTTCACCCCCTCTCAATCAGAAAGATTTCTGGCTCCCAGGTGTCTTTTATACAGGTAACGAGCTGAGATTAGGAGCACACTCTTAAAGGGAGTGCTCCCAATCTCAGTTTGTTACCTGTATAAAAGACACCTGTCCACAGAAGCAATCAATCAATCAATCAGATTCCAAACTCTCCACCATGGCCAAGATCAAAGAGCTCTCCAAGGATATCAGGGACAAGATTGTAGACCTACACAAGGCTGGAATGGGCTACAAGACCATCGCCAAGCAGCTTGGCGAGAAGATGACAACAGTTGGTGCGATTATTCGCAAATGGAAGAAACACAAAAGACCTGTCAATCTCCCTCGGCCTGGGGCTCCATGCAAGATCTCACCTCGTGGAGTTGCAATGATCATGAGAACGGTGAGGAATCAGCCCAGAACTACACAGGAGGATCTTGTCAATGATCTCAAGGCAGCTGGGACCATAGTCACCAAGAAAACAATTGGTAACACACTACGCCGTGAAGGACTGAAATCCTGCAGCGCCCGCAAGGTCCCCCTGCTCAAGAAAGCACATATACAGGGCCGTCTGAAGTTTGCCAATGAACATCTGAATGATTCAGAGGAGAACTGGGTGAAATTGTTGTGGTCAGATGAGACCAATATCAAGCTCTTTGGCATCAACTCAACTCGCCATGTTTGGAGGAGGAGGAATGCTGCCTATGACCCCAAGAACACCATCCCCACCGTCAAACACCAGAGGTGGAAACATTATGCTTTGGGGGTGTTTTTCTGCTAAGGGGACAGGACAACTTCACCGCATCAAAGGGACGATGGACGGGGCCATGTACCGTCAAATCTTGGGTGAGAACCTCCTTCCCTCAGCCAGGGCATTGAAAATGAGTCGTGGATGGGTATTCCAGCATGACAATGACCCAAAACACACGGCCAAGGCAACAAAGGAGTGGCTCAAGGTCCTGGAGTCGCCTAGCCAGTCTCCAGACTTTAATCCCATAGAAAATCTGTGGAGGGAGCTGAAGGTTCGAGTTGCCAAACGTCAGCCTCGAAACCTTAATGACTTGGAGAAGATCTGCAAAGAGGAGTGGAACAAAATCCCTCCTGAGATGTGTGCAAACCTGGTGGCCAACTACAAGAAACGTCTGACCTCTGTGATTGCCAACAAGGGTTTTGCCACCAAGTACTAAGTCATGTTTTGCAGAGGGGTCAAATACTTATTTCCCTCATTAAAATGCAAATCAATTTATAACATTTTTGACATGCATTTTTCTGGATTTTTTTGTTGTTATTCTGTCTCTCACTGTTCAAATAAACCTACCATTAAAATTATAGACTGATCATGTCTTTGTCAGTGGGCAAACGTACAAAATCAGCAGGGGATCAAATACTTTTTTCCCTCACTGTACAACGGGTGAGTCTAATCCTGAATGCTTATTGGTTAAAACCGCATTCCAGCCGGTGTCTACTCCACAAGTTACCACCGGCTAAATCTATGACGTTAAAATGCCTATTTACTCTGTTCCAATAGCCAAAGCTATTTATAAACGTGATCTCCACTATAAAAAGCATCTAGACATTATCTCACATTTCTTTTAGACTAACATTTAGTTTTCAATAGCGAAGATTTGTATAAACCTTGCTGTCTGTCTCTCCGACATTTGCAACATTGTTTCAATATTCCCATAGGAATGAACATGTCGGGACGAGACAGAATCAAAATAACGTTTAATGAAAATATGTCAATAATTATTTGAATATGTTGGTAACCCTTTGTATAAAAGTGATAATGCCCTCGAAGCCGGTGTTTGAAGGATATATTGGCACGGTTTGCCAACACCCGTGCCAATATATCCTCCAAACACCGGCTTCTCTGGCATTATAACTTAATTGTAAACTGCAAATTGACCACAACTAAGCCTGAAAAATGATTGTATTTGAAAATAATAATTTCATACCTTGATTACATTGAGACACGATCACATATCTTAGATTTCCCAAATTAAACACATTTTTTGCTGAATTCCTGGTGATTTTACAGTATTTTACACATACACTACCAGTCAAAAGTTTGGACACACCTACTCATTCAAGGGTTTTTCTTTATTTTTACTATTTTTTACATTGTAGAATAATAGTGAAGACATCAAAACTATGAAATAACACCTATGTAATCATGTAGTAAACAAAAGTGTTAAACAAATCAAAATATATTTTATATTTGAGAATCTTCAAATAGCCACCCTTTGCCTTGATGACAGCTTTGCACACTCTAGGCATTCTCTCAACCAGCTTCACCTGAAATGCTTTTCCAACAGTCTTGAAGGAGTTCCCACATATGCTGAGCACTTGTTGGCTGCTTTTCCTTCACTCTGCGGTCCAACTCATCCCAAACCATCTCAATTGGGTTGAAGTCGGGGGATTGTGGAGGCCAGGTCATCTGATGCAGCACTCCATCACTCTCCTTCTTGGTCAAATAGCCCTTACACAGCCTGGAGGTGTGTTGCGTCATTGTCCTGTTGAAAAACAAATGATAGTCCCACTAAGTCCAAACCAGATGGGATGGCGTATCGCTGTAGAATGCTGTGGTAGCCATGCTGGTCAAGTGTGCCTTAAATTCTAAATAAATCACAGACAGTGTCACCAGCAAAGCACCCCCACACCATAACACCTCCTCCTACATGCTTTACGGTGGGAAATACACATGCGGAGATCATCCGTTCACCCACACCATGTCTCACAAAAGACACGGCAGTTGGAACCAAAAATCTCCAATTTGGACTCCAGACCAAAGGACAAATGTCCACTGGTCTAATGTCCATTGCTCGTGTTTCTTGGCCCAAGCAGGTCTCTTCTTTGCAGCAATTCGACCATGAAAGCCTGATTCACACAGTCCCCTCTGAACAGTTGATGTTGAAATCTGTCTGTTACTTCAACTCTGTGAAGCATTTATTTGGGCTGCAATTTCTGAGGCTGGTAATTCTAATTAACTTATCCTCTACAGCAGAGGTAACTCTGGACCTTCCTTTCCTGTGGCTTGATGGTTTTTGCGACTGCACTTGAAAAAACTTTCAAAGTTCTTGAAATGTTCTGCATTGACTGACCTTCATGTCTTAAAGTAATGATGGACTGTTGTTTCTCTTTGCTTATTTGAGCTGTTCTTGCCATAATATGGACTTGGTCTTTTACCAAATAGGGCTATCTTCTGTATACCCCCCCTACCTTGTCGCAACACAACTGATTGGCTCAAACGCATTAAGAAGGAAAGAAATTCCACAAATTAACTTTTAAGAAGGCACACCTGTTAACTGAAAATCATTCCAGGTGACTACCTCATGAAGCTGGTTGAGAGAATGCCAAGAGTGTGCAAAGCTGTCATCAAGGCAAAGGGTGGCTATTTGAAGAATCTCAAATATAAAATATATTTTGATTTGTTTAACACTTTTTTGGTTACTACATGATTCCATAAGTGTTATTTTGATGTCTTCACTATTATTCTACAGTAAAAATGTAAGAAAAACCCTGGAATGAGTGGTGTGTCCAACCTTTTGACTGGTACTGTACATCATTGGTCAGGGCTGGGGTTATGGACTATGAAAAGGATATGTAACCTTATCAAATATCAGGCAGATAAGTGGCTGTGACGCAATATATTAATCCAGTAATCTACTAAACATTCCAGTGTTTGCTTTGGCTGTAACTTGGAAGGTTTTTATATTTGTACTGACAGTCTTATTCCCCCCCTCCTTTGTTGATAACTTCTTTATTGAGAAAATGGTACTTAATACTATGATATGTGGTTGTCTTACCTAGCTATCTTAAGATGAATGCGCTAACTGTAAATCGCTCTGGATAAGAGCGTCTGCTAAATTACTAAAATGTCAATGTGAAACATTTTTATATGTTTGTGCGTGTGTATATGTAAATGCACACACAAGTCTGACTATTTAGATATTTATTTCCATCTCCTTGTGTACTGTGCAATCTTCCTATATTGACGGACATGTCTGTTTGGTTGTGTGTTGCAGGACTGTCTGAAGGAGTGTCAGGAGCAGATAGAGAGGGTCTTGGTGAGCAGCCTGCGTGAGGGGCGGCAGCAGCAGCAGCAGCAGCAGCAGCAGGTCCAGCATGGCCCCTGCAGTAAGACCATGGACGAGCTGGATCAGTCCAGCACCCCAACGGATGTTCGTGACATCAACTTGTGAGCCTGCAAGGAGCAGTAGCACATCCGAAATAAGCATCAAATCAACATTAAAAAAACAAAAAACAAAAAACAAACTCCCCCTCGAAAAAAGTGCTTGCTAGTTTTTGTAGAGATGTTAAAAAAAAATTAACACAAAAACATGCGCCCATGTATTTTACGATATATCAAAGCTATTTTTAGATATAAAATAGATATCCTTTAAAAGCTCTGACTTGATACAAGAAAGCTCAATGGTGCCTCAGATATACAGAAGGGAAGCCAATCATATTTTGAGTTCTGTTTTTGATTGTTTAATCATAATAAAGTTATATTGAATATGAAAACAATAGCTTAATAAGGCTTTTTAAAAAGTAGTGGTGAGTCCATTCAAGGCTTGCATATATGGGATCACATTTGGGGCAAGGTTTTTCTGTTTTGTTTTGTATTTTTTTTTTGGTACATGTTGGTCTGCCTGAGATAGGAGCCCCATATGGGCTACACTGAGAGTGAATGGCAGGGCTCAACATGACATGGTTTGGCTGTGTGTTGGTGTTGAGTGGAGCACTTTGCATGAATTGCGGCATATTGTGCTAAGAAAGAGACAAGTAGGGTCCCAAGTCCAGGGAACAGCCAAGTATATAATAGTGAATTACATTATTATTATTATTAAGAAACATATTCGTGAATAAAGAGTAATAGACGTCAATAAGCTCTTTTTGTCAGGCTGCTTGTTCGTATGTGTGTGGGCATGCATCTCTGTGTGTGAGTGGGTTGGTGTGACTGCCGTGTGTGTGTGTTGAAGCGTTATGGCTTTGCACTTGAGTGGGAAGACTAGACTAGTGATAAACTATGGAACAGGCAGGAGACCGGGATTCTTTGCAGGGCATCTATGTTAAATCACTGCCTTCAGTTAATATGCTTTGTCAGCCGACAAAAAGCAGGGGGTCTGAGTCCACATAGTGGGTAGAGGAACGGTGAGAGGGATGGAGAGAGAGGAGAGAGGGGTGGCTGTTTTCCCTCGTTTTGTTTGGAGGAGGCAGCAGTGGACCCTCTGTTTTAGAAGTTTCATTTCGAGGTGTTTGTTTTTCACTGCCAGCATACCAATCAAATATAGGCAGATAGCGTTTGTATTTTCATGTTATTGTTTTGTTCTTTTGGAGTTATGGAAGGAGCTTCAGGCTGTATAGTGTCAGTAAGGAGGAGTGTGTGCCTCTAGGTGGTGGATGGAGGGGTTTGGGGGGTGGACATGCTGCTGTGTAGAAGAGGGAGGAGGTGTAGGTGAGTTGCTGAAAGATACAGGAGAGGAGCCTAAAGGCCTCATATGATATCTATCCGATTTCTGCGTTTTGGGCCGATCGAGGCCACGGATGACGAATTAGGATCAAAACCAGACTTTACGCTGCCACCTCATTATTTGAGAATGAACTTTATTGGTTCATTAGAGGACAGAGAAATGTATTGGAGCAGGGGAAGATTTGTGATCAATGCATCTGTAGTCCCTCATAGTTATTTCAACACGCCTATGATTTCAACAGCAAAGCACTTTGAAAACACACTCCCCAAGGGACAAATTAAATGGTTACGGTGTGGGGATCTATGGATGTTTTCTGTTTTCTTGTGAGCTTTTTCTTTGATTTAATTTGTAGGGCTGGTTTCCCACATTAAGGCCTAACACCTTACGATATGAGGACATTCCGATTGAAAAACATTCCGAAAGAAAGTGCAAGGTGAAAGGGCCATCTTGACCATTTCGTGTGTTTTAGCAAATAATTAGTGCCAATGCCAATTTTAAAAAGGCTACAGACCTTTATGATTTCAGTTTTATGATTTTGTTTTAGAAGTTATCACATTATGAAATATTTGTTATACTTGAATTTTCTATTTGATCTGCTTCACAGCAACAAAAAAAGTTACATGGGCGATGAACTATAAAGAAAATGTTACCATAACATCTGATCTTTGCACATGTTCTGAGGGCAATTGAGGTATTCTTTCAAACAGATGAAGCTGGTCTATATTCAAGGCTACCTTATCGATTGTTTTGCTCGTAGAGCCTGGCCTGTTGTCTATGGTGATGCCCATGTGTAGCGGTCTCTGTGAATCCCTCTCCTCCCGAGTGATTTGCTGCTTCAGTCACTTCATTGGCATGGGGTTCAATCAGTTACCCAAACGTCAGAATTAAACAAATTCACTTCCAAGACTGACAACAGGGTACATCGCCAGCACAAGGTAGCTTTCCTTTGACTCACACAAAATTCTCAATGCTACATTTAAAGGGGGATTGGGGCTTTGGTGTGTGTGTGTGTGTGGGTGTGTGTGGGTGTGTGTGTGGTAGGTATGAGGGGAAGTTGAGGATTCAGTGTTTTAGCAGGCTAACGTTTTCGAGAAACGAATCCTATAAACCAAGCCATTTTCAACCTCTCAACAAAACTAGCCCCTGTTCATCATTGTCAAGAATGTCAGCCTTTTTTTGTTTTTTGCAAGCTCTATTCTGAGCAAAGGTTATGGTTTGTTTTGTTTTTGGACTGTGTTAGGTTTGAATTTGTAAATACACCTCCTTAAAAAGTTGTGTTTGTTTTATTTTATGGGGTGTCCAGACCCAAAAGAGTTTGTGGAGTGTTTGTAAGGGGTTAGATACTGTATTCCAAAGTGAAGAGAGATGGAGGTGGTGTGAAGACATCACAAAGTGTCAATATTTGTATTGAGTTATTATTATTATTATTGTCTTTTTGCGCTGCTAATAGCTATGATTTTGTTTCATTCTTATATATAAAAAAAATAACATGACTTAGTTGTGATGTCACTTGAGTGTGCTGCTATTTTATAAACATTTGTATTATAATATAATGATTTTACTGCTTAAGAGATACATTCAGAATACTGAAGTAGATGGTGATAGAAAACCATGAAATAAGTATTCGACTGGAAATGTTCTTTGTACAGTTTGCTTAGATAGCATGTTTTCTTTTCCATTGGATCTATTTTGCTCTCCTTTCTCGGTCACATTCTGCAAATGCGGTATCTCTATACCTCAGGTTTACTGGACAAAAAAAAATCATATCTCAATACCTCTCAACTCTACAGTTTAAGGAGCCTGGGAAGGGTAACAGTACAGCAGAAAGCACAGTAGTTTGTCTGTTGTGAAATGTACTGACCGTGTTGGGCGGCATACAATGCAAGGCTCCCACCTGGACTTAAACCCTAGTGGAGGGGACACAACAACCAGTCACCACTTCCTCGGTCAGTTTAAAGTGATACCATGTTCATGGTGGTGCTAAATGTGAGACTCATGTGGCGTTCATTGCAAAGACAAATGTGAAAATGTCTCAAATATCATTGATGATTACATGGTTTGTAACATTTACATTGAATGTCAATAGATTTTGGTTCCTACGCTTGATTTGATGAGCTTAGTTGACCTGGTGTGTGCCAGGTTTTATTGTCTGGAAAACCAATACAAAATGGCTAAACCAATCAAACACCTCACCACATACTGTATCTGACATGAGGAAGTGTGTTTCAACAGCGTGGATTTCTCTTTAGTTGTCCCCTTCCACTAGGAATTACATCATGTACCTCAAATGTCTGTTGCACAACCTCTGTTCAATAAACTTCTGCTTTAAAGAGTGTGACACCATATCAGTCCAATGTTATTCTCACTTCTTTCTTTTTGTATGTCATTATGGTTAGTGGAGCAGATTGTGGGCTGTGATTGTGAACATACAGTGAGGTGAACATTAGAGGTTGCTGTAGTCATGAAACCAAGAGGACTGGGGAGATGTTAGTGGAGTGGCGCTGAGATTGTGTGGCGGGTGGCAGACCGCAGTATTATGAAGGGCTAAAATAAATTCTCATTAAAAACAAAAGCTAAGAAGACAGACATCATATTTACCCCCTGCTCGAAAAACATCCCATTAAGAACATAGACAGCTTAAATCAATTGGGCGGTAGACAAACAAATTGGGTGAATGTGGTTATTTCTGTTGCTTCCCTTGTATGACATCCTCTGAAGTTTAAACACACTCTAATCAGTCCAGTTTCAGGCAAGTGGGGGATTGGTGTCTGAGTTTGTCCACTGACTCTGGGGCCCTAAGGCACTCTTATGCAGCTTGTTAGGCTGTTTTTGAGGGGGGGACTGGTTCATGTAGGCCTAGTAAGTGAATAAGTTGGTTTCAAAGTTCTGTATTGATAACTTCTGTTTATGATTAATCAGCTCTTTATTGGTCTGTTTGAAAGGATCAGTTAAAGTGTTGTTAAGGATCAAGGCATGCTGTATGATCAATAAACTCACCATGAATTAAATCCATTGTCCCTGCTCTTTTTATGTTAATGACAAATTGCTTTATTATCTCACTCATAAAATCTTCTCTCACTCATAAAATCTTGGAGGACCTTTTTATTGCAAACTGTTAAAAGGCCAGTGCAGTCAAAAACGTGATTTTCCTGTGTTTTATATTTACATTTTAGTCATTTAGCAGACACTCTTATCCAGAGCGATTTACAGTTTTAGTGAGTGCATACATTTTTCATACTGGCCCCCCGTGGGAATCGAACCCACAACCCTGGCGTTGCAAGCGCCATGCTCTACCAACTGAGCTATATATCTCCACACAGGTTGGAATAATACTGTGAAATTGTGAAAGTTATGATAATGCCATTTTAGTGTAAGACCTGTTTGAAAAGACAGCCTGAAATTTCAGCATGTTTTGGTGGGATGGAGTTTCGGCCTGCCTGGCGACATCAACATGCATTATAAGTTAATAGACCAATAACAAAGAGTTTCATACCTCTTTGCCAATAACAGCTAGTTTTCAGGTTACATAGCCCTCCCATTAGGCTTATCCAATTAGGCCACGCCCAGACAGTCCTAACAAAATTCTTGATTGAGAAATGTCTTCCTATTTTTTAACCATTTATATTGACAAAAATAACAGTAAGGTACTTCATTGTTACCCAGAAATGATATGATATTTAGATACAAACGTCTGCATTGGTTCTTTAAAGCAAAAAATACAACAAAAAAACAGATATGAACAGGGTTCACAGGATGACAGAAACTACACAAGATCAGTTGGATAATACAGTTTTTTACAATCACTTTGGCACTAATTTCAGAACCTTGACGTCATTTTTCAAAACTAGACACAAAACTCACAACCAATGATCAAAATGCAAATTTTTCAATTGCTTGGATACAATACACATAAAACTAAGATAATTTGTTCATTTAACAAAAATCACCTGTTCAATGACACAACTTAACATCAAAGTACTACTATTTCAAAAGGCAATTCACACATTACATTTCAGATGAGTGTCTATTTATTTCATTACAATTATCCAACTATCAATTGATACAACTGCTCAAAATGACTGTTGCATTACTCTTAATGTATAGTTGTATGGAAACAGACAAACAATATTCCATGTTTAGATCATGAAAGTTTCAAGATAACGAGATTCATTGTCACCAATTAGCGTGGAGCATGAACCAATTAGACTACATTATCTATAGATGTAATATTTAATCATCATTCTTTATCAGACACTGTTTCTATGGTCCCATGTACCACCTTTTCAGACTATTTACAGTATTGACAGTACTGCACTGTATGGATGCAGGCCCTTGTAATTGCTTGTCCAATTCTGCCAACTCGTTAATGATGATTGACTTCACATTGTGGAACGAGTATATCAAGAATTGATTGGGATCCACTTGCAACAACATAGCGATACGTACTGTAACATGGAGCCGGCAGGTGATCCAGGTCACAAGAGTGGTGGGAAGAAGACGTGTTGGTCAAAGGAATGGCAGGGGACAAGCACCCCTTCTGAGAGGTGGTCGTGGGCCTGGTTTGAGAGGTGTGGGGGAACGTGGTAGAGGACAAGGCCACGGACCAAGACAGCGGCAGCAACAGCAAAGAGTGTCCAATGAAATCCGAGCAATAGTTGGAGACCATGTCATAAATCATGGCATGACAATGACTGAGGTGGCTACAATGATACAACCAAACCTCAGAAGGTCAACCGTGGCCTCAATAATCAGAACTTTCCGCAATGAGAACCGGTAAATCGTCAGCATGCACTAAACATTATGCTACTCTCAATTGTCAAATGACTGCATACCAATGTGTATCACAGAGTATGTGATGTGACCAAGTGTCTTCTTACTGTAATGTTCCCTGTAGAATTGAGACTAGGCCAAATAGGGGAGGCAGAGGAAAATTCTGACTGACCAACAAGAGCAGGCTGTGGTCGATTTGGTTCGGGCCAGAAATGATATTCGCCTTACAGAAATTCGCTAGCATATCTTGGACAATGAAGACATGTTTAACAATGTGGAATCCATAAGTTTGCCGACTATTGCACGCATGCTGAAAAGGCACCAGGTGTCTTTAAAACAACTATACCGTGTGCCTTTTGAAAGAAATGCAGACAGAGTGAAGCAAATGAGGACTGAGTATGTTCAGGTATGTTCAGTTTCAAGATGGCTGTTATAATTCTACATTGTACAGTAATCAGTAAATCTCTTTCCAAAATGTATTTTTAGAGGGTGATGGAGCTGGATGCTGATGACAACCATCACAAATTCATATATTTGGATGAGGCAGGCTTTAACCTGGCCAAGACAAGGAGGAGAGGTCAGAATTTCATTGGCCAGCGGGCAACCATCCAAGTACCTGGACAACGTGGGGCCAACATTACCATGTGTGCGGCTATATCAGAAGATGGTGTGGTGGGACGCAGACCTCGTATTGGATCATATAATGCAGCTCTCCTTGTAACCTTCCTTGATGAGCTCGATCAGGTCTGTAGAGCTGATGGCGTGACCTATGTCATTGTGTGGGATAATGTCAGGTTCCACCATGCTCATATGGTACAAGCATGGTTTCAGGCCCATGCACAATTTACCACCCTGTATTTACCCCCCATACTCTCCTTTCCTTAACCCGATTGAGGAATTTTTCTCCACATGGAGATGGAAGGTTTATGATAGGCGCCCTCATGAACAAGTCACTCTTCTCCAGGCCATGGATGACGCATGCAATGACATCCCGGCAGACCAGTGTCAGGCCTGGATTCGCCATGCCTGAAAGTTTTTTCCAAGATGTTTGGCTAATGAAAACATCCATTGTGATGTAGATGAGAACCTGTGGCCAAATCCACAAGACAGAGTTGATGAAAATGTAGAAGTACAGTAATCACTCCTATGTTTTGCTTTTTACAGTACAAGCAAGTTGAGGAACACTGCATTTGATGTTTTACAGTACTGTATTGTTTTTCATCAATATATTTCAGATTTTGTTCAATGATTCCACTGTGTCTGTAGTATTCTCTCTACTACTGCAGTACTTTTACAGGGATGTATTTACATGTAGTACCATAATGAAACATGCATCACCTATTTTGTACTACAATATTTAATGATTGTTCGTACAATGACAGTGAAACTATCGGTTGCTTGTGTGTGGGTGATCTAATTGTTTTTTGAACCAATGATTGTGCAAGTGCAATATTTCTTTAAAGATATGAATGCACAATGAAATGTTTTGAACATTGGACAGCCTGTGTTACAAGTGATGACCGTTTTGAGTTTTGTGTCTAGAGTTTTGAAAAATGACGTCAAGGTTCTGAAATTAGTGCCAAAGTGATTGTAAAAAACTGTAAAGTAGGCACTCTCATGTGCAGAACTCTCGCTATTAATGTGCAATCATGAGTCAAAATGCAAAATCTGGAGTGAATCTGATGTATGGTTCATGAGAAGATGATTTTGAGCATTAGCGTTACATATCTTAAGAATGAGTTAAATTTCCTTGTTTAAAAAATATATATGAATACCAAATTCAATGTGGTTCGTCTTAGGGACGTCCATGATAGCGATGACAAGTTGATAGGCCACTGTGAAGTGGATTTACAAAGGATTTAAATGGACACGTAAAATCAGATTTCCTGATTTATCAATAACTTATCTCTTAACCAATCCCTTAGCTTTTCTCCAACTAAGTACCATGGGCTTACATACCGATTTGTGTTGTTTGGACTTATGGTTCATGAGAAGCAGTTTTTCAAAGTTTTTCCAAAATGGAGGACAATTTATCCTGACGGACTTTGTGGGTCATTGAGACAAATTTGTTCAGCATGAGGAAAGATATGTACACACAAAGTTTAAAGTCTCTAGGTAAACGGGGCGGCAGATATGACTGTTTAAGTGACTGCTTATAGCAGCGCCACCTATAGGCCAGTCGGTGCCATTATTTCTCACCAAGTTACTCATGGCCTCTACTTTCTGTGTGCCAAATTAGAAGAAGAAAAAAAGTTACCAATCTATGCTTTAGTGATTTGACTATAGGAAAATAAAACAAATCTAAGATTAACAATAGGTTTCACAGCTTTGCTGTGAACCACTAATAATGATGTATAGACAATTTGTTTTACTGCATTTGACATTAAATACACCGTATAAAATGCTCTCTTACCTTTTTGATGTCGGTTCCTGAACTAGAAGGGACGTGGCCAATCATATTGCAGAGCGTCTTTACGTCATTACCGTATACACAGACGTGCTCGTGCTGTGTTTTGTCGGTGACAGGAAGAAAGTTCATATTGAAGAATTGTGATTTGAAGTTCCATCAACTACCTCATTTAAAGCATAACAATGCTTACCTTTGGCATAACGATAGTTCGACAGTAAGTGTGCATTATTCAGAAGATACTAGCGGTCGCTTCATTACTATTCAGTGTATGTCTGTTTCCATTTGCAATGTAACTGTTGTCCGATACTGTTGCGACCTACAGTGAATGGTTATTGACAACGTGTTAGTCAAAAACGGCTGAATGCTTATCATAGTCAAATTTTGAATTTGAATGGCTTGCATGCTATCGGTGCACGGTCCCCGCCACAGACGGCGCTGAGCTGGTGTCACATTACTCCGGTCTCCAGGGGCTGGAGTGGAAGTCCAGATAAAGGTCAGACTGAGTGCGAATGTTCAGCCCTGCTTCTCATGAAATGTCAAAACGTTACAGCAGTCCTGTTCAAGTCGATCATTGCTTCTATAGTAATACAGTATGACTAAAGATAAATACCCTACTACTAACTAAACGATGCATTTAGATGTATTTCTCATTAGATGGGGCTAATGTCTTCTGAATTGAATTGTATTATTATATGTTATTGTTTTTTTCCCCAGTGGTGAAACAGAATGGAATAAAAAAGGCCTCCTACAAGGTATGATTTACTATAAAAGCACATCTGTGTCTTTGGTGCTACTGTTTTGATACTGTTTTGGATACATTAGAGCAGTGGTTTCCAACCTTTTTCGTTTACTGTACTACCAACTGAATTTTGCTCTCCCCGGAGTACCCCCGAAGTACCTCCCCCCGTACATTTTACCAGTAAGCCTATGGTCTCATGAGCCTTCTCAAGTAACACCTGTGGTCCTAGTACCCCTGGTTGGGAACCACTGCATTAGAAAGACATGGATGAAACGTGTCAAACAGCACAAAGTAAAATATTTGGAACAGATCATCCCAATAGATTATGTTTCAATGGCATATCACTGTGAGGCCTAAAGTATCACTCCAATCCTGGGCATTTCCCAATCCCCAGGCCAGGCGATAGACTCGTCTCTATCAGACATAGGGATGCAGCAGGCAGAGGCTGCAGGAAAATACCTGGAAGACGTCAAGTTCACCAACGTGTTTGTCAGTGACATGGCCCGTGCCCGCCAGGTGAGTGGTGATGTCGTCACAGACATCATAGCATCTTTTAGAATACAATTCAACTCCATTATTGTGTGTTGGGATGGCCTGCGGATTAGATTTTATTGTGTAGGTAGAAGTTTATGAAAAAAAAAACTCATTAGAAAGATGTACAGTGGGGGAAAAAAGTATTTAGTCAGCCACCAATTGTGCAAGTTCTCCCACTTAAAAAGATGAGAGAGGCCTGTAATTTTCATCATAGGTACACGTCAACTATGACAGACAAATTGAGAATATTTTTTCCAGAAAATCACATTGTAGAATTTTTTATGAATTTATTTGCAAATTATGGTGGAAAATAAGTATTTGGTCACCTACAAACAAGCAAGATTTCTGGCTCTCACAGACCTGTAACTTCTTCTTTAAGAGGCTCCTCTGTCCTCCACTCGTTACCTATATTAATGGCACCTGTTTGAACTTGTTATCAGTATAAAAGACACCTGTCCACAACCTCAAACAGTCACACTCCAAATTCCACTATGGCCAAGACCAAAGAGCTGTCAAAGGACACCAGAAACAAAATTGTAGACCTGCACCAGGCTGGGAAGACTGAATCTGCAATAGGTAAGCAGCTTGGTTTGAAGAAATCAACTGTGGGAGCAATTATTAGGAAATGGAAGACATACAAGACCACTGATAATCTCCCTCGATCTGGGGCTCCACGCAAGATCTCACCCCGTGGGGTCAAAATGATCACAAGAACGGTGAGCAAAAATCCCAGAACCACACGGGGGGACCTAGTGAATGACCTGCAGAGAGCTGGGACCAAAGTAACAAAGCCTACCATCAGTAACACACTACACCGCCAGGGACTCAAATCCTGCAGTGCCAGACGTGTCCCCCTGCTTAAGCCAGTACATGTCCAGGCCCGTCTGAAGTTTGCTAGAGTGCATTTGGATGATCCAGAAGAGGATTGGGAGAATGTCATATGGTCAGATGAAACCAAAATGTAACTTTTTGGTAAAAACTCAACTCGTCGTGTTTGGAGGACAAAGAATGCTGAGTTGCATCCAAAGAACACCATACCTACTGTGAAGCATGGGGGTGGAAACATCATGCTTTGGGGCTGTTTTTCTGCAAAGGGACCAGGACGACTGATCCGTGTAAAGGAAAGAATGAATGGGGCCATGTATCGTGAGATTTTGAGTGAAAACCTCCTTCCATCAGCAAGGGCATTGAAGATGAAACGTGGCTGGGTCTTTCAGCATGACAATGATCCCAAACATACCACCCGGGCAACGAAGGAGTGGCTTCGTAAGAAGCATTTCAAGGTCCTGGAGTGGCCTAGCCAGTCTCCAGATCTCAACCCCATAGAAAATCTTTGGAGGGAGTTGAAAGTCCGTGTTGCCCAGCGACAGCCCCAAAACATCACTGCTCTAGAGGGGATCTGCATGGAGGAATGGGCCAAAATGCCAGCAACAGTGTGTGAAAACCTTGTGAAGACTTACAGAAAACGTTTGACCTGTGTCATTGCCAACAAAGGGTATATAACAAAGTATTGAGAAACTTTTGTTATTGACCAAATACTTATTTTCCACCATAATTTGCAAATAAATTCATTAAAAATCCTACAATGTGATTTTCTGGAATTTTTTTCCTCATTTTGTCTGTCATAGTTGACGTGTACCTATGATGAAAATTACAGGCCTCTCTCATCTTTTTAAGTGGGAGAACTTGCACAATTGGTGGCTGACTAAATACTTTTTTTCCCCACTGTATGTGAATGGTTGTTTTAATCTGTTTTGTTACAGACTTGCGAAGCGATTGTAAAACACAACAGTAGTTGCTCAGGCCTAGAAATTGTCACCGAGCCATCACTTAAAGAGAGGGTGAGTACCCTTTCTCTGGGCTAAAGGTTGTCAATATCTTATTTCCATAGATGCTGTTCTCATTCTCAGTGTGTGTGTGTGTATGTATTTGTTTGTATGCAAGGATGCGTGTGTGTTTGTTTGTTTGTTTGTATGTATGTGTGTTTGTTTGTGTGCAAGGATGCGTGTGTGTGTGTTTGTTTGTTTGTGTGTGTGTTTGTGTGCAAGGATGCGCGTGTGTTTGTTTGTTTGTGTGCAAGGATGCGCGTGTGTGTGTTTGTTTGTTTGTGTGCAAGGGTGTGTGTGTGTGTGTGTGTGTGTGTGTGTGTACAGTTCTATGACCATGTGTGTTTTTGTACTCAAAGCCATCCAGTAAAGAGCCTGTTATTTTTCAGAGTTTTGGGAGTGCCGAGGGGGGCCTGGTGGTGGACATGAAGAACATGGCTACAGCGGCTGGTCAGTCGTGGCTGGACTTCACTCCTCCAGGGGGAGAGACTATAGAACAGGTGAGTCACTCTGGGGGATCCTGAGTGCATCGCTCTCTCTCTCGCTCTCTGAAATACTACTCTAGCCACCCAAAGCAAGCTGTAGGCCCCTCCATCAGGATGGTGTCAAGCAGTCTATTTTGTGGGTGGAGGAAGGGAACGGGAAGCATGAGTCTGTGTTGTGAATAAGAGTGCTTTGTTCTGTGTTAGATGAAGACGCGGATCAAAGAGTTTCTGGAGCACCTGTTCCAGCGCATGGTGGCTGACCACTGCAGACCAGGACAGAGGGAGACAGTGATGCCAGAGGGGGCTCTCGCAGGCAAGCCGGACGATGGGATCAGAAATGTCCCTGCCCATGCCCTGGTGGTCAGCCATGGGGCCCTCATACGTGTGGCCATGCGCTACCTTGTGGACGAGCTAAAGTGTCCTTTACCCCAGGGGTTGGACATGTCCCATGTGATCGCTCTCTGTCCCAACACGGGCATATGTCGGTTTATCTTCACTGTGACAAAAGGGGATGCGGGCATCACCCTCTCAGCCATCCGCTGTGTCTTCATCAACAGGTGCGAGCACATCTAAGAGGAGGGGGTTGAAGGAAATCATCTCCTGGTTCACACTATAGGGCTGACTAGAACCGTACTGTGCCGTTTAGGATATTTTCTTTTCACATTGTCCTTTCCAGCATGGTTCCAGCAACTAAGGTAGATATCGTAACCAGGCCAGCCTAGTACAGCTTGGCCTGACTCGCCTTGGCCTCTAGAGTGTGAATCGGGCTGACTAAGATATACACAGACTCCACATAGGAATCTGGTTTAGTTATTTGAAATTATTTTAAGGCATATATGTATGTTTTGTCTGAAAGTATCTTAAATGTACATTCTGTAAAACAATGAAGAAAATAAACAATCATATTTTGAAGCTTTCCCATTCCATCTCATCACTGCACAGTGCATAACCAGCTGACTTGTTAAAAACCTACAGGACTGTCCTAAATTCAGCCGTTCATAACTTGAGTTGAAGAGCTTATTTTTATTGTTTTATTTTTTACCCCCTTTTTCTCCCCAATTTCGATCTTGTCTCATCGCTGCAACTCCCAAATGGTCTCGGGAGGCGAAGGTCGAGTCATGTGTCCTTCGAAACATGACCCGCCAAACCGCGCTTCTTAACACCCGCCCGCTTAACCCGGAAGCCAGCCGCACCAATGTGTTGGAGGAAACACTGTTCACCTGCCGACCGAGGTCAGCCTGCAGGCGCCCGGCCCGCCACAAGGAGTTGCTAGAGCACGATGAGCCAAGTAAAGCCCCCCCGGCCAAACCCTCCCCTAACCCAGACGATGCTGGGCCAATTGTGCACCGCCCTATGGGACTCCCGATCACGGCCGGTTGTGATACAGCCCGGGCTCTAATGTATTTCTTTATGCATCTTTTAACATCACATTTAACATAATATCTCCTTCTTGCAACTACTCACATCATGTTCTACTCACATTCATGTTCAGTTTTGGGGGATTTCAACCTCCCTACGTCTACATTTGACTCATTTCTCTCTGCCTCCTTCTTTCCACTCCTCTCCTCTTTTGACCTCACCCTCTCACCGTCCCCCCCTACTCACAAGGCAGGCAATACGCTTGACCTCATCTTTACTAGATGCTGCTCTTCTACTAATCTCACTGCAACTCCCCTCCATGTCTCCGACCACTACTTTGTATCCTTTTCTCTCTCGCTCTCCTCCAACACTACTCACTCTGCCCCTACACAGATGGTAATGCGCCGCCGCAACCTTCGCTCTCTCTCTCCCACTACTCTCTCCTCTTCCATCCTATCATCTCTTCCCTCTGCTCAATCCTTCTCCCTCCAATCTCCTGATTCTGCCTCCTCAACCCTCCTCTCCTCCCTTTCTGCATCCTTTGACTCTCTGTGTCCCCTATCCTCCCGGCCGGCTCGGTCCTCCCCTCCAGCTCCGTGGCTTGATGACTCATTGCGAGCTCACAGAACAGAGCTCCGGGCAGCGGAGCGGAAATGGAAGAAAACTAAACTCCCTGCCGACCTGGCATCTTTTCACTCCCTCCTCTCTACATTTTCTTCATCTGTTTCTGCTGCTAAGGCCACTTTCTACCACTCTAAATTCCAAGCATCTGCCTCTAACCCTAGGAAGCTCTTTGCCACATTCTCCTCCCTGCTGAATCCCATCCCTCCCTCCCCCCCCCTCCCTCCTCTCTCTCTGTGGATGACTTCGTCAACCACTTTGAAAAGAAGGTTGACGACATCCGATCCTCGTTTGTTAAGTCTAATGACACTGCTGGTCCTGCTCACACTGCCCTACCCTATGCTTTGACTTCTTTCTCCCCTCTCTCTCCAGATAAAATCCTGCGACTTGTGACTGCAGGCCGCCCAACAACCTGCCCGCTTGACCCCATCCCCTCCTCTCTTCTCCAGACCATCTCCGGTGACCTTCTCCCCTACCTCACCTCGCTAATCAACTCATCCTTGACCGCTGGCTATGTCCCTTCCGTCTTCAAGAGAGCGAGAGTTGCACCCCTTCTCAAAAAACCAACACTCGATCCCACTGATGTCAACAACTACAGACCAGTATCCCTTCTTTCTTTACTTTCCAAAACTATTGAGCGTGCCGTCTTTAGCCAACTCTCTTGCTATCTCTCTCAGAATGACCTTCTTGATCCAAACCAGTCAGGTTTCAGGACTGGTCATTCAACTGAGACTGCTCTTCTCTGTGTCACGGAGGCTCTCCGCACTGCTAAGGCTAACTCTCTCTCCTCTGCTCTTGTCCTTCTAGACCTGTCTGCTGCCTTTGATACTGTGAACCATCAGATCCTCCTCTCCACCCTCTCCGAGCTGGGCATCTCCGGCGCGGCTCACTCCTGGATTGCGTCCTACCTGACCGGTCGCTCCTACCAAGTGGCGTGGCGAGAAGCTGTCTCCGCACCACGTGCTCTCACCACTGGTGTCCCCCAGGGCTCAGATCTAGGCCCTCTCCTATTCTCCCTATACACCAAGTCACTTGGCTCTGTCATATCCTCACATGGCCTCTTCTATCATTGCTACGCTGACGATACACAACTAATCTTCTCCTTTCCCCCTTCTGATAACCAGGTGGCGAATCGCATCTCTGCATGTCTGGCAGACATATCAGTATGGATGACGGATCACCACCTCAAGCTGAACCCTGGCAAGACGGAGCTGCTCTTCCTCCCGGGGAAGGACTGCCCGTTCCATGATCTCGCCATCACGGTTGACAACTCCGTTGTGTCCTCCTCCCAGAGTGCGAAGAGCCTTGGCGTGACCCTGGACAACACCCTGTCGTTCTCCGCTAACATCAAGGCGGTGACCCGATCCTGCAGGTTCATGCTCTACAACATTCGGAGAGTACGACCCTGCCTTACACAGGAAGCGGCACAGGTCCTAATCCAGGCACTTGTCATCTCCCGTCTGGATTACTGCAACTCGCTGTTGGCTGGGCTCCCTGCCTGTGCCATTAAACCCCTACAACTCATCCAGAATGCCGCAGCCCGTCTGGTGTTCAACCTTCCCAAGTTCTCTCACGTCACCCCGCTCCTCCGCACACTCCACTGGCTTCCAGTTGAAGCTCGCATCTGTTACAAGACCATGGTGCTTGCCTATGGAGCTGTGAGGGGATCGGCACCTCTGTACCTTCAGGCTCTGATCAGTCCCTACACCAAAACGAGGGCATTGCGTTCATCCACCTCTGGCCTGCTGGCTCCCCTTCCTCTGCGGAAGCATAGTTCCCGCTCAGCCCAGTCAAAACTGTTCGCTGCTCTGGCACCCCAATTGTGGAACAAGCTCCCTCACGACGCCAGGACAGCGGAGTCACTCACCACCAGTGGCGGCTCCTGAAAAAATTCTCAGGAGGGGCAATTTTTCTGATGATTTAGGTGACCTACACACGTGCACGAGTCCGTGCACGCGATTCCAGATATCTTTACCTCTGAATAAACTGCCTTTATTATACCATATCCACCCTGTCCAAAGTCTCTACTTGGTCTCAGTTCTCCAGTAAACTTGTGATTATCAACAGTACACAACGGTAACAAACAATTGGGGGAACTCACGGGGCAGATAGTAACCACTTAAAAGGAAGCGATTCCCAAACCTTCCATAACAAAGCCATCACCTACAGAGAGATGAACTTGGAGAAGAGTCCCCTAAGTAAGCTTGTCCTGGGCCTCTGTTCACAAACACAAACAGACCCCACACAGCCCCAGGACAACAACAACAACAACACAATTAGACCCAACCAAATCATGAGAAAACAAAAAGAGAATTACTTGACACATTGGAAAGAACAAACAAAAAAACAGAGCAAACTAGAATGCTATTTGGCCCTAAACAGAGAGTACACAGTGGCAGAATACCTGACCACTGTGACTGACCCAAACTTAATGAAAGCTTTGACTATGTACAGACTCAGTGACCATAGCCTTGCTATTGAGAAAGGCCGCCGTAGGCAGACCTGGCTCTCAAGAGAAGACAGGCTATGTGCACACTGCCCACAAAATGAGGTGGAAACTGAGCTGCACTTCCTAACCTCCTGCCAAATGTATGACCATATTAGAGACACATATTTCCCTCAGATTACAGCGATCCACAAAGAATTCGAAAACAAACCCAATTTTGATAAACTCCCTTATCTACTGGGTGAAAAACCACAGTGTGCCATCACAGCTGCAAGATTTGTGACCTGTTGCCACAAGAAAAGGGCAACCAGTGAAGAACAAACACCATTGTAAATACAACCCATATTTATGTTTATTTATTTTCCCATTTGTACTTTAACTATTTGCACATTGTAACAACACTGTATATATACATAATATGACATTTGAAATGTCTTTATTCTTTTGAAACTTCTGAGTGTAATGTTTACTGTTAATATTTATTGTTTATTTCACTTTTGTTTACTATCTACTTCCCTTGCTTTGGCAATGTTAACACACGTTTCCCATGCCAATAAAGCCCTTAAATTGAATTGAATTGATAGTAAGGTCGCAATGACACAGAAAGCAGTTCAATGTCGGGGTACAGAGTCGCTCTCTTACCAGGATCGCGGTCCGCTCTGACCAGGGTGAAGGTGGCCGGCTCCACTTCTCTGTCCGGGACTCATCCAGCCAAGTCTCCCAGCTGTATTGGGATTCAGCTGCCAGCAGCGTTTTCATTATTTAGTCCGTTCGTAGCGGGTATGTACACGATCAACAAGATCAGTCCAAAACCAACCACTGGAAATCCATGGTTGGCAGAATGTTTGTAAACTAAGTCTACAAATTAAAAACATAAAATAACGCCGCACTGCAGGTCGCAACAGAGACGCTTCTAGCCGCCATTGTCTTAGTTACGTTCAACGTTACGTCACGTATGACGAAAGCGCGTAAGTGCAAGCCCACAGACACCCATAGAGAATGTATTGAAAGCTTTGAAATGTGAAAAAAATAGATTTTACATGACAGGCTATGAGAGACTTCTGGGCGATTTTCAACTTGACTGAAATCGCCCAAAAAACGGGCGGGGCCATTTGAAGCACGACTTTAGCCTGATTTGACATTTAGTGGCTGGCAGATCAGACGTGAACACTGATAACTGCTGTTGCCGTGATATAATTGATTAGAAAAAAAATCCCTTCCTTTTCCCGTTTGGCAGTGCGTCGCCCATATCGCCCTATTGAACAAGCCGTCCCTGCTCACCACCTTCCGGAGACATTTGAAACCCCACCTCTTTAAGGAATACCTGGGATAGGATAAAGTAATCCTTCTACCCCCCCGCCCCCCCCCCAAAAAAAATAATAATAAAAATAAAAACATATTGTAAAGTGGTTATCCCACTGGCTATAGGGTGAATGCACCAATTTGTAAGTCGCTCTGGATAAGAGCGTCTGCTAAATGACGTAAATGTAAATGTTCTATCTGTTTTTGTCAAGAAAAACAGA